CATGGAGGCCAGAGGGTTGAAGGCCTTGAACTTGTCCTTCATCCCCATGGCAATGGAGAGCCTTTGAAAGTGAAGGTGAAGCTGGAGAGACTCAAAAGTTAGAAGGGACCGGCCTGGTGGCGTAGTGGTTAAGTTCATGCACTCTGCTTTGGCGGCCCAGGGTTTGCAGGTTCCAATCCTGGGCGCGGACCCATGTGCCACTCATCAAGCCATCCTGTGGCAGCATCCCACATATAAAGTACAGGAAGATGGGCACAGATGTTAGCTCAGGGCCAATCTTCCTCAGCAAAAAAGAGGAGGATTGGCAACAGATGTTAGCTAAGGGCTAATCTTCCTCGCATGCGCGCGCGCGCGCGCACACACTCACACACAAGAAGCAGAATTCACTATGGGGCTAGCCCGCTGGCGTAGTGGTAAAGTTTGCATGCCCTGCTTCGGCAGCCCAGGGTTTGCAGGCCTGGATCCCAGGCATAAATCTACACACCACTCATCAAGCCATGCTGTAGTGGTGTCCCACATAAAAAATAGAGGAAGATTGGCACAGATGTTAGCTCAGCGACAATCTTCCTCAAGCAAAAAGGGAAAGATTGGCAACAGATGTTAGCTCAGGGACAAGCTTCCTCACCAAAAAAAAAAAAAAAGTTAGACCCCGCAGGGCCTTGTAGACCACGTTGAGGATTTAGGGTTTGATCCTGAGAGCACTGGAGCCAGGGAATGACATGATCAGAGTTGTACTTGAGAGACAGAACTCTAACTACCTTCAGGTGGATGGCCTGGATGGAGACAGGCAGGAGGCAGGGAGACTGGGGAAGAGACCTTAATAATAGATAACACGTATATAACCCTTACTCTGTCCCAGGCACTATTCTAATCACTTTACACCTGTTAAGACATGTGAAGACCTGAAACAGTGTGGATTCAACAGATTTTTTGGGGTTAGAATACATCGGACTTTGTGACTGATGGAATATGATGGATGAGGTAGAAAGAGGAAGCCAGGATTCCTCTGAGATTTTTTTTTTTTTTTGCTGTGGTAGATTCACCCTGAGCTAACATCTGTGCCAGTCTTCCTCTATTTTGTATGTGGGTCACCACCACAGCATGGCCACCAATGAGTGGTGTAGGTCTGCATCTGGGAACTGAACCTGGGCTGCCAAAGCCAAGCATGCCAAACTTAACCACTAGGCCATGGGGCGGGCCCTTCCTCTGAGATTTTTAACTTGGGTGATCAGAAGGATAGAGAAGTCCCTATCAGAAACAGAGAGAGAAGAACTAAGAAAAGTCCATACACGTTTACTGCTGCCAACTCTGTGCCTAGCCCACTGCCAGGCCCTAGGAAGATAAACAAGCTAGTTGTCACCATCCAGGAGATGACTCTGCAGGAGACACAGGCATGTAATAGACAATTTCAATACATTGTAATGAGCATAGGTAGACTGTACAAGCAGAGTGGGGTAGGGAGGCAGTAATAGCACTTCCATCCACATAGTTGCTCAAGCCTGAAACCTGGGAGGTCAACCTTGATTCCTCCCTCCCACCCTCATCCAGTCAATCACCAAGACCAGTAGATTTGATCTCCTAAATATCTTTTGAGTATCTTTTGAATCTGCCTACTTTTCTTCATCCCCACTAAGAACACACTAGATCAAGCCACTGTGTCTTCTCATTTGAACTACTGTAACATAACTTTGTAATTGGTTTCTCCATTTTCATTCTGGTTTACTCTAATCCATTCTCACACTGTGCCAGAATAATCCTTTAAAAAAGGAAATCTGAGGGCCGGTCCAGTGGTGTATGGTTGGGTTCATGTGTTCTGCTTCGTTAGCCTGGGGTTTGTGGGTTCAGATCCTGGTTGCAGACCTATGCATCGCTTATCAAGCCATGCTGTGGCGGGGTCCCATATATAAAGTAGAGGTGGATTGGCACAGATGTTAGCTCAGTGACAATCTTCCTCAAGCAAAAAGAAGAGGATTGGTAACAGATGTTAGCTCAGGGCCAATCTTCCTCACCAAAAAACCCCCCAAAAAACAAAAAAAGGAAATCTGAATCCCTCTCCTGCTTATAAACCTTTCAATGGCTTCTCATTGCTATCAGAGTAAAATCTAATACTCTCAACCTGGGCTATCAGACCCAGCAGGATCTGGCTCCTTACAACCTCACCAGGCTCATTGTGCTTTAGTTCCTATTACAGGACACTCCAGAGTCAAGGGCAGGCTTAACAACATTTAGGATATGCCACGTTCCTTTAGGCCACAGGGCTTTCCCTTGTGTTTTTCCTTCTTCCTGCAATGTTCTTCCCCAGTTTTCTGCCTGGTAAGTTTATGAGTCACTTTCTCAGGGAAGCCTCCTCTGACATTCTAGCCTTAGGTCAGGAGCTCCAGATTCTATGGCAAGAGTCAGTGAACTTTTTCTGTAAACGGCAGATAGTAAATATTTTAGGCTTTATAGGTCATAGTGTCACAACTACTCAACTCTGCATCATAGCAGCAATAGATGATACATAAATGAATTTATTGATGCTGAATTTTGAATTTCATATACTTTTCACATGTCAGGAGATATTAGTTTTCTTTTGATTTTTTTTCCAACCATTTATAATGTAAAAACAATTCCTAGCTTCTGGCCATACAAAAACAGGAGGTGGGCTGGAATTAGCCCATAGGCCATAGTCTGCTGACGCCTGTTCTATGTTGTCATAGTATATACCATATACTTTGCTGTAGTAATTAATTATGCATATGATAGTCTTCTTAATGTTGTCTCTCCAGTTGGAAGTAAGCTCTGTGAAGGCAGGGACCACATTTGTTTTGTTTACCATTTTCCTCCTGAGCTTCTAGCACAGGCCCTGGTCCATAGTAAGTGCTCAATAAAAGAATGGAGTGATAAGGGGATAAGTGATAAATGATAAGCTCATCTTCCTTGAGAGGAGCTCAAAGTCTAGTGGACAATTCAGACATGTAAACAATTAACTACGCAATTAACTACATAAAGCTGTTTTGGAGAGAAGAAGAGTTCAGTTTTTGGCAGGTTTAGTTTGAGACACTAGTGGGAAATCAGGGTATAGTGACTTCCAAACATTTGTAACTACCTGAGTTGAGGCTAAGACGTAGACAAGGCAGCAAGAAGAGAGGTAAAGGAAGAGATGGAAAAGACTACCTGCGTCTGCCAGCTTACTCAAGGAGAGAGGCTGAATGAGGAGAGGAGAGGGAGGAGGCTGCATCTGTATGGTAAGTTTCTGGGCCAGGAAAGGGGCAGAGGTGGGAGAGAGGTAAGAGATGCAGCTTAGAGCTATTTCAGAAACAAAGAAGAATGACTATGTATTATTTCTGTATCCATCTAGTTTACCACTCTGTTCCAAGTATTTTGCAGTGGGCATGGCATATAGTAGAGATACTCAGAAAATCTGTGAATTGAAAATTAAATTGCATCAGAACATTTCCAGAAGCACTACACAGTATGCGGCCCATAGGAAGTGCTCAAAGAAGGAAGAAAGAGTAAGTAGTGTGGAAGGAATGCTGCTGATGCCAGTAAAGGTGAGGGCTGATGTGGCAGGGTCTCAGACTTGAGCCTGGTAAGCTTTTCTCGTCGGAAGAACAGTAGATTCCTTCCATATTGACTCATGTTTACTTTGCCCTGGGGAGGCAGAAATCCATCAAACCTGACCTCTGTTCTCAAAGAGCTCACAGCCTGGTGCGGAAGACAAACACAGACCCTGATAATTATAGAATAAAGCGCAAAAGTACTGTGGGAGGACCGGCCCCATGGCTTAATGGTTAAGTGCACGCGTTCTGCTACTAGCGGCCAGGGTTCAGATCCCGGGCGCACACCGATGCACCACTTCTCTGGCCATGCTGAGGCAGCGTCCCACATACAGCAACTAGAAGAATGTGCAACTATGACATACAACTATCTACTGGGGCTTTGGGGAAAAAAAAAGGAGGAGGATTGGCAATAGATGTTAGCTCAGAGCTGGTCTTCCTCAGCAAAAACAGGAGGATTAGCACGGATGTTAGCTCAGGGCTGATCTTCCTCACCAAAAAAAAAAAAAAAAAAGTACTGTGGGAGTACAGAGATTGGGAGGAGCTAGTAAACTTAGAAAGCTTCACAGAAGACGCAACATTTGAGCTCAAAGGTTCGAGTTCACTAGCACAGGAATTCAAGCAGAAAGCAGCCTGTGCAAAAACCCTGATCAATGCAGTGGTTCTCAAACATGTGCATAAGAATCACTGGAGAGGTCTATTTAAAAGAGATTCTAGGGCTACACTGCCTGGGAAACTTCTGGTTCAATAGATGAGTGACGCCCATTTAAACAAGCTTCAGAGGACCACACTTCTGTGTTCCCATTATCATGGGAGGGGGGGCGATGGCAGGAGAGGAGGCTGGAGAGAGCTTTGCTGATCGGCTCCTGTGCCTTCGAGGGACGTCACACTATCACAATAAAAACAATTCCATTTTGCGTCACGCTTTCAGGGTACCAGACACTTTCATGGTCCTTACTTTGTCTGAGCCCCCAACAATTCTGTGGGGTAGAAATTATGAATCTCATTTCATAGGGGAAGAAACTGAGGCTCAGAGAAAGGAGACGATTTGCTCAAGGTCACAAAGCGAGAGGTGGCAGGGCACAGACTGAAAGCTGGGCGACCGGATTCCTGCGCAGAGACTTAAACGACGAGGGCAGGCCCCGAGCAGGTGTGGCTCAGTCCCTCCCTCTACGGCTGGCTCCAAAATGGTGGTGGCAGTGGCGTCAGCAACGCTCCCGCCCCTTCCGTCCACCTCCCTCCTTCTGCCCCAGGCCACCCAGGCGGGGGGAGGGGAATGGAACGGAGCAATCCACGTGACTGCTGACAACCTGGCGCGTGACGCAAAGCGGCGGGCGAACCACTCGCGTTGCCTTGTGGGAAACGTAGTTTAGTAGATCGCTAAATTGGCAAGGAGAGATAGGCCTAAGACTACATTTCCCAGGAGGCAGCGGGGCTACGCCGCCGCTGCGGCCGTCGGAGAGCGGGGACGCGGGGCGCGCTGTCGGGCGGAGGCGAGGTTCGGGCCGGTTGTGCCGTTGCGAGGCTGCGGCTGGGATCAGTGTGGTGGGCCCAGGTGAGTGAGGGCCTCTGGTGGGAGTTAGGGCAGCTCAACCGGCTCCAGGCGTTTCATGTTTTACCTTTTCTCCGCTGCGGCTGAGACAGGGGGCCCGGGCAGGCCCAGCGCGGAGACGCTCCCCCGCGCCTACCCCCTGGCCTCGTCTGAGCGGGCCTCACTCCCTCCGGCTCCTCCCCCTCCCCGCCCTTCAGGGCTTCCCCTCGCTCGGGCCTAGCTGCCGACGCCCAGGGCCGCCTTTTCTCCCGAGCACCCTCTATCCTTCTTTCTCCTCCTTGCAAGCTGCCAGGGCGAGGCCTGCACCTCTTCCATCTACTCCTTTAGTTGTATGGACCCCATTATTTGGATTTCTCCTTTTCCCGGAAGTCTTGCGTGCCCTCCACTCCCCCCACCCGCGTCTCAATTGGCCTGGTTCTGTCTCCTCCCAGAGCGCATGTGGCTGGCTCTCAGTAAATGTTAGCACCGTTTCGGTTCTTTCCTGCCTTGTGGCCAGCGGAGGCATAGTCCACATTTATTTGCGACGGGAATATATGTGCGCCCGCTTTTATTGCAGTCTCTTGGGCTCGAGGTGAGGCCAACTTGCATTCCAATGCTGATCGGCGTGTTTCTGCTTATATTGAGGCAATTTTCTTTGCCTCTCTTAGTACCTAAGCAACTCTTATTGGCTATTCTCTTTGCCTTTCTAAATCTTAAGGGTGGAACATGGCAGCAGAAGCTGGCGAGTAGCGCTGGTGCTCAGAAGTTGGAAGCCATCAGTGTTAGTACAGTGTTTACGGGGAGGTTGTTAATTGGATTGAAGGAAAAGCCTCTGAGAGTAAGGTAGAGCATGGCGGGAGAGAGCCAATGAAGCTTCTGATGGCGGCATAACAAAGATCCTGGAGGCAGCTTGCCTAGGTTCACATCTTGGCTCTGCTAGCTTTTGATTTTAGGTCAAGGGGCTTCACTTCCACGTGCCTCAGTTTCCTTATCTGCAAAATAGCGGCGACTAACAGTGGGGGTTATTGTGAAGATTAAATTGAAAACTGCTTGGCTCATTACCTGACATGTATTGAACACTATTATTATTATTATCATCTTTTATAGGATTTCTAGATTGTGAGTCCAGAGTGGAAAGGCACGTATCACACCATCATTTTCCTTCCCCTTCAGATGGCTCTCCCTTTTTTGTTTTTGAAAATATTGTATGTTGTAGTCTGTCCTATTATCTAGATAGTCCGATGGGTGTATCATTATGTAGAAGCCTGTTAAGGAGCCAAAAACGACTGCTGCCATGAGTAACTAGTGAAGCAAATCGGGCTTAGTTTGTTCTTTGCTGGGGAATGTGTTTTGTGAGCTAGTGTACACATTTTAACAATATCAGAAACAATTTTTTTTTGCAGCCGGTAGACTTGATTGTATTTTATAGAAAAGGCGAATTGAAGTTTCTGTAAGAAACTGTTTAACTAAAAACCTTTATGTCCAATACAGATCCATCTCTGTTTTTTTAACACAAGTGAAAGATCTCCGGTTTTGGAGACTGGTGTTTTTAGCCTGCAGAGGAGGTACAATCCAGTCTTAGTGGTGGTAGTAGTAATTGTGGCAGCAGCAGCAGCAGTAATAGTAGTAGTTCTTTGGCATATTCCTTTAATACCAAGTACAGGTACTTTTTGAATCTGGTTTAGCCCGTGAAGTTATGGATTGTGAAAGGAGTGTCCTCTTTTGTATTGAGAAATTGGAGGGGGGAAGCTTGGTGTCTTTCCGAGATTGGCACCAAGATGGGGAGGGCTAAGGCTAGGAGAGAGCATAAGACGTACGATTTATTTATTTTTTATTTTGGATAGTCTTAACCACTAAGAATCTTAAGGTGCTGGCCTGTTTCTCTTGGGCATAGCGACATCCTGAATTGAAAGAAGTGTGGTTAATGCTAGTCTTTCACATACTAGATTTTGGTGAATTGCTTCACACACTCATTCGCTAAACATCTAAGATTAATTCTGTTTTTAACTGATTGAGTGATTGATTCCACAAATAGTGCCTAAGAACCTACCAGCTACAGGCCCCTGTCCTGGGTTCTGGGAGTACAGGCGGGTTTGAGACAGAAGGGGTCTTGCCTTTTGGGAACTTACAGTATAGTGGAAGAAGACACAACAGGTAAGTAAATAAATTACAAATTGAGAAAAGTGATGTGGAGGTATCAAGCAAGGGACTCCTATAGACGCTAAAAAGGGAGAGACCTAAGGGTGGTCAGAGAAGTTCTTTTTGTTGAGAGTGAGGAGACCATTTTGTAGGGCTGTTAATGAGACAGCATTCCAGGTGGAGGGGACAGCAAGTGCCAAAACTTGAAGATGGGAGGAATTTAGTGTGGTTTCAGAACTGAAAAGAGGCCACGTGTGGCTGACACTTAGTGAGGAGAATGGTTAAAGATGAGATTGAGAGGTAAGGTTGTTTAGGGAAGCTATTGAAGCCTTCTGATAAGTGAGAGGGGTGGCTGGCTGATTTATATATATATATATTTGTTTGTGAGGAGATCAGCCCTGTGCTAACATCTGCCAATCCTCCTCTTTTTTTGCTGAGGAAGACTGGCCCTGTGCTAACATGTGCCCATCTTTCTCCACTTTATATGGGACGCCGCCACAGCATGGCTTGCCAGGCGGTGCGTCGGTGCGCGCCCGGGATCCGAACCAGTGAACCCCGGGCTGCTGCAGCGAAGCGCGCCCGCTTAACTGCCTGCGCCAGCAGGCCGGCCCCCTGGTTTATATTTTAAAGTCACTTTTGCAGAGGTGTGGAAAATGGATTGTGGGGGGGGTATCAATTAAGAGGCTATTGTACTAGCCCAGGCCGGAGATGGTAGTTGTCTGAAGTAGATTGATGGAGTAGAGCGGGAGCTCTCGCTCTTAACCGCTGCTCCACTGGGCGGGCCCCTAGAGCAGGACGTTCTTAATCTGTGGTCCGTGGACTACAGGGGCCCCATGAACTTGGTAAAATTTTTGTGAGGGAGTACATTTTCTCAAAGGAAGGGTCGTTACATTCCATCATATTCACTAGAGTCTCAGAGTTTACATTCCATCATATTCACTAGAGTCTCAGAGTTTAAGAACCCCTGCTCTAGAGTTTGTGATCTAGGTTTATAGCTCGTAAAAAAGTGATTGCCTACGACTTACCAGGAGAGTAAGAGTCCTGGGTTCCCTTTCTAAAACATTGACATTCTTAATATTTCAAGGGAACTCTTTTTTTTTTTTTAAATCAAGGTTAAATGCTGTACCATAGAAATCATCTGTTAGTTTCTTTTGTCTAGAAGTTAAGGGCTGATGCACATACTGAGAAAGCTGAACATTAGTGAGCTCAGTTTCACAAAAATCCATTTCCTAATGTTTTCTTCCATTGGGTTTTGTTTACCCTTCCTATTTCAGTGGTAGAAACGGAGCGCCTTAGTGTGTAAAGAGTAAGATACTTTTCTTCTTGTTTTCCTTCAACCATTATGGGTTTCAGATGTATGTTCATATATCTTGTGGTGTATTTTGAGATGATAGTGTGCTATTGGAAGCAGAGGGGATGCCTTCTACCCCCAAATTAGAGCTCTACCATTGAAAGAACCATGTATTTTTCTTTTTATGGTGAAGGTTGAAAACTGAAGGCTCATGGACGAAATCCAGTCTGCATATGTGTTTTGTTTGGCTCACACAGAGTTGTAAAATTTGAATTAGTTGTCAACTTTAAAAAACAGGGAGATTTCATGTAAAAATTTGGATTCAGGCTGCTTTTGAAAAATCAGATCTGGCAGCCGTGGACCTGTTTCTGCTTGGCAGCAGCCACGTTTTATGATTGGGGCACGTCTTCTCCAGTTTGTGACAGACCTCACCACAGCCTCACATGTATCCCTGACATGGAGCAGAGTGTTAGTTGATGTTTATTATTTTACATGTTTATATTACTTATCTGTCTGTAGGCATTTTAATTTGCTCTCCTGTTCTAGGTATATGATACAGGTCTCTAATGCCCCCACTTAAAGTCATCTTGCTGTCTTAATGTTACATCACCATTTAAAAATTTTTTTCTGTCTTGGTACCTATTTCTTTCTTTTGTTTCTTCTAAAAAAAGGAAATTTTAGTTAACTTTAGAAGAGGAAGATGAAACAGTGAGAGGGAAGAAAACTCAAAACATTGAATTATTTTGTTTCCAAACTGAAGAAACCCAGGAGCTTTTAGAAAGTATAAAGGCGCCGGTCTGACCCCTGCCTGTGCCTTTTAGCTGGCGTTCGTGCAATGTCCTCATTTTTGTTCTGCCTGGTTTGCTTTTTAGCATCTGGAATGTTGTAACTGCATATCTTGGCTTGTTTCAGAAGACAGAAGGCCAAGCAAAGAGAAGTTCCTGAATGTCTCATTAGAAGACTTTTGGCTCCTGTCCTGAGGCATAAGAGCCAAAGTGTTTTTATTTGTTTGTTTGTTTGTTTCTTAATAATATGCCTCTGTGAAGTCCATTGCTTTCAGTAATTCTGTGTGTTTTTTGAGGAGTTAATAACTCAGTTTTCTTCTTCTCTATTTTAATAAAAAGGGCAGGATAAATAAAGGATTGATAGAGGAAGCCATAGAAGTGAGACCGCTTTGTAAAGTTACCTAGGAGATTTCTTCACTCCAGCGCTCTCTCTTCCGTCAGGGCTTCCCAGAATATGGTCCTGGTGTATCTGAAGGGTGTGTGTCCTGGAGTCTTGCCTTTGGCTACGGGACTATGGGTTGTCAGAAAAAACTTTAGAAATGAAGAAGATTGAGGAAGTTGGTTAGGTGGCAGAGTGGGGTTGCTCAATAGAAAAGGAGTAAGGTAAATTTTTTAACCTGAGAAATTCTTGTTTCATATATATTGAAGTGATGCTTTACAAAGCCTTGCTTTATGTTCTCTGAAGTCCTTACAAGTTCTTACTGCTTAGTTGTTGAGGGGTTGGTGTATCACCTTCTTGGCTTGGGCAGTTTTGATGTCCCTTTGTATGCATGTGTCACACTGGGAAATGTTCTGACAGAGACCTTCCT